ATATTAGAATAGTGGTATCCCATTACTTGCTATCTCACTTTTGAAGTTGGTTATGACATTCTTTATCTCATATACATCCATTTAATAATATAAAATAATATATTTGAAATATATCTTATTTATTAATTGGATAAAAGATATTATATTCAAAATCAAAATTCAAAAAAATAAAACTAAATAAATTGTTGTTACAAGTTTGTGCCAGGGAAATCATAATAACCCTTTAGCCCTCACGTTGATCGGCTAGGTCTTTGGTCTCGACATCGACCGACCACCAAACCAGCCCTTCGGCCTCCACACAAGCCGGAAGAGCTTTCAGACCTCCACAACGACCAAACACTCCTTCAGTTTCGTTCTAACCCAAACAACAGCCACAAGCCAAAAAAAGCTTGGGCCCTACTCAGGAACCAAAAGAGTTGAGTACCCCCTTTAGTCAGTAGATAACCTGAAGGGGTACTTGGCCATGATGGAAGCCAAACCATCTCTTGTCATCTAAATTACATTACCTTAATTATGGAAAAATAATAAAATTTCACGTCAGTAGAGATCAGGGAGTGAAAGTCAAGGTATTAGCCCACTAATCCCAAAAGACCCATCAGGCTCAAATATGTCATTATAAATACATTGATGGGACAACTGAGGCAGGTAATATCATTTAATGTAGCCATATTTATTGCTCTGAACCGAGTACTCACTTAAACGTCAAAACACCTTTGTAGGTACCCTCCCCACCACATGGAGTAATGATCCGAGAGACCTCTATCCTGAAGCCTAGAAGGTCAGCTAGTAAGGAGTGACTCAACAGATAAGTGTTTAGTAACAGGAACAAAGTTCAAACACTTGGAATGATAATGAGGGGTAGGTAGTGGGATACTTGTTTTTAGCATCATACCTGTTCAAATTGTAATTTCTTTCTGAAGCACCAAACTACTAAAGAAGAGAACTATTCATTATATTTATCATACTCTTTATCCCCATAACTATTCCTAAAGTCCAATTCTCTGCAGCATCAGTACTTTCAACTACACTCTCAATCCTATCAGCTACAGGATGTGCCAAGACTAACTAATCAGAACCACATTCTACTCCACCAACACTAAAAGATTTAAATGTGTTCAAGTTATCTTTTGAAGTCCACAAGTTTTTGGTTTCTAAGCTCACAGGTTTGTTATGATAAGAGTCTTTCAATGCACTAATGTGTAAAAATTACATGTAAGAAACTAATGAAATGTGGGTAAAGAGTTGGAATGATAATGAGGGGTAGGTAGTGAGATACTTGTCTGCCCCTCATATAAAAATTCATGTAGATATTTGTTAAGTGAATATGTATGAATTTCATTAATTTTTATGAATATTTGTGATTTTTAAAAAATAAAAAAAATATTATAAATAAATTTAAACTTGTATTTGATATTAATTTTATTGAAATATTAAAAATAAATAATTAATATTAATTTTTAAACTTATATTTAATGTTAATTTTATTGAAATATTAAAAATAATATAAAAAATAGAAGATAAAAATATAAATATTTAAATAATTTTACGTAGCTAGTACCTGTAGGTATAGATATTATCCTACCCACCTTATTTATAAATAGGTGAAAAAATATTCTATCCATTATGAATATTTATTTAAATTATCTATTTATTATTTGTGGAGAATTTTATGCATGAATACTTGTGAATATGAATTTTGTTGTCCTAATAAAGAGAAACAACGACGTCGTTATCATGATAAATTGCCAAAGGAATTAAAGAAAAAAAAATTGAGTGCGTGTTTGGTTTCACATTTGAAACGTGAAAAATCACGTTTAACGTGGAAGCTACAATGTGTAGCTTCACGTGATTTTTCACGTTTCAAACGTGAAACCAAACACCGAATGGATTTGTGGTGAAGTATGTGATATATAAGCAACATTTTAAGACAAACTTGAATCTAAACAACACCCGTTTGGCCGTTTCTTTATCCCACATTACAAGATTGCCAACAGTATTTTGACACAAACTAAGGATTCTTTATCACTGTGTTTTCTTAACCTATAAAAAAAGTTATAAAATTAATTTCAAGAAAAATTAAATTAAGAAAAATAAAGTAAAACATTTTGTATGATCTTATTCTTAGGTAACAATCTCCGATGAGGTTGGCCAAACATTATAAAAAATAAAAAATAAAAGAGAGAGAGACAAATAATAAATCAAACTTGGAGTTTCAACTTTTTAAATAGACCAATATATTTTATCGGCTTATCCGGTTCAATCTTTTTATCAATAACCACCTTTTAAAAAATGTCAAAAAATTTTGTAAATGGTGACAAATGTTTACTAATAAAAATTAATAAATTGAAATTAGTTTATAAAAGATGCCAAACTAATAAAATAAGAGAAAATGAGGGTGCATATAGGTTTGAAAGAAGGAAGAGATAGAAATGTTATAATAATAAAAATAAACAAATACTTTCACTTTGATGAGTATCGTCACATTAGTCATCAAAATTAAGGAAATGTGAAATTAATCTATAAGTCTCTAAATTTAAATATTTATAATTATTTTATCTTTAAAATTTACTAATATTATCATTTTATATACATTTTTTGAATTATAGTCTACTGTGATTATTAATTCACACTTTAAGTATAAAATACGTACAAAAAAATAGTATTGACAAAATAATAGCAGTATTATCATTCGAGAATATTATAGTTCCTTTCACGTTATTTAACTCATCTAAATCAATCATGTACTCTATAGTAGCAATAGCATATTATAGATGCTACCTAATGTAATGTGTCCATCAGATCTTTTTTGACTGCTTTTGCACCAAATTCTTTGACTTTCCGCCTTTTTTAGACACAAATTCTTTGAATAAATTTTTAAAGAAAAATTATAATAATGTGTTTAGATGAAAATTTTATAAATTTAAGAAATTTTAAATTTTTGGATATTTAAATTGTTTTGATTTTAATTTTTATCATTTTTAAAATATTTTATTTGAATAAATTAATTTAAATTTTTTAAATTTTAAATTTTTAGGTTAGATATTATAATTTGATTTCATCATGATAAAACTGATTTCAAAAATATATTTATATGTTGAGATTTTTAAATTAAGTTTTATCATGAAGAGATAAAAGATAAGATAAAATATATTTTTGAATATTCAATAATTAAAATTATGAAGAGATAAGAGATAAGATAAAATATATAAATAAAATAAAAAGAAAAAAATGAGAAATTTCAAATTTTTATTTTTTGAGTGAATTTAAAATTTTATTATTTTAAGAAATTTTACAAATACTTAAATTTTAAATTCTTTATAAATTATTTATCCAAACAAAATATTTTACCTTAAAGAATTGAAATTCTTTAAATAAATGAATTTTTCCATTTAAATCTTCCATTCAAACACATTATAAACGAAAAAGACACCGTACCTCCAATATGCATCAAATGCCATCTTCAAATAGTTATTCATCAGATTAGGGACTAATCACTACATAATATCTTCTTATTAACAAATATAAGAAATCCAACCACAATGCTTGGATTTACCAAATTTTCTTCCTCCAAAGCTTTTACATTCCATCCCCTTGAGGAAAAAAGAATATGGGGAGAAAAGATGGTTACAAGAATTGAGAGAAATGGATAAACAGAACTAGTTCTCCTAGATAAGGTATAAGGTTACCTTAGATAGTGTGACAAATATGACAACCATAAACAATGGAAGGGAAATCTGATTCATGTAATCACCTAAATATTCTCATCAACTGCTGATAAACAACTAGTTAGAGGATCATGTCTGCTAATTAAATAACTTCAACTTTTTTCTCCTGTTATCACAGATCCTGTGCTAGTTTAGGCAGAAGGGTAGGACTCTGTGTGTGAATAATCGCCACAGCGATGGAGAAAGATTGCAATGCAGACAAGGGTTGTCGAAAATGAATAAAATATAAACCATCATCAATATTCACCATCCTCAAGGTGGGGCTGAAATTGCTTGAACCCTGAAATTAGAAGGGTATATGATCATCTCATTGCATACAAAAATAAATGTCATCTAACCAAACACATACATACAGTACATAAAAGATTGTATATGCATTCAATCAAATTTTATATAAATCGTAATGAATCTGAGAAGGAAAAAGAAAACAGCAGCGGAGATTTAAATGTCATAAAAAGATTATGGAATTATTACATTTTAGTTTTGGAGGATGTTTAGGTATAAGTTTAAAAACACTTTTGAAAGTATTTTTGCAAAAAGTTAAATATATTTTTCAATAGAGAAGAACTTTTCTATACTCGCATTGAAACAGACTTTTGGTGACCATCAAATTGAGTGATCAACAATTAACATACTGTTTTCCCAATAAATTAATAAAATACAATTCCTACAGTTTTTGTGGAGAATCACAAACAAAAAGAAAAAACATATTACAGTTCCCAACTAACACTTCAGTTCAAAGAGTATGGGAAAACTGTCAGACATGTGATCTTTTGGGCGGTAACAAAAAACAAATCCATGAATGGAGAATATCATATTAATATAGAGATGCATGAATATTTGGTACATAACAAGATATCATACTCCTCTTCAAAAATATCTCTACAAACCAAGTACAAAACAACCCATCAAAAACTAACCACAAAAGTGAGAGATTAATTTACCTGAGTAACTAAATCAACTGACTTACACTCTCCTTGCATATCTACATGAGACAGAACCTCCTCATTGCTAGATCTTCTCTGAAACACTGTTAAGGGACACCCCTCATCCCAACCACCACAGTCACAGCACCCTCCTGATTTCCATCTGTCTATGAGGCTAGATGGACCACCATGTCTTGTTCTAGGTCCACCATGAATGCCTGCTGGAATGAGAATGCTTATACTAGTTGAGCAATCCACGGTATTTCGATTACGCCTTTCAGAAGGCAATGTAGTTTGATTTACACCAGATTTGTTGAGAAATTTCAAGCCCCATCCTCCTACTTTATCCAAGCTACGAGAGGGAATATGGTCTTTGACAACAATGGCAGCCAACTCAAAATTTGATGGAACATTAGTTTCTAATAAATTTGTCCCACCTAGGCCACATGATTGTTGACCCAATGCATAACTTTCTCTCGTGGATTTTGATCTACTGAACTTTGAGAGTGTTCTGTGTTTAGACAATGGACTCCGTCTCAACACTTGTGATGCTTTCTTGGCCATGCCCTTCATAGAATGGCTTGAAGTGAACATTTCTTTGTCATAAAGTTTACCATCACCAAACAATATAAAATGTGTTTCCATTACTCTACAATTGCCTGGGCAAAGGGTGAAACATGTTGATACATTCATCTTACCAACAAGTTGCGAATCATGGTCATGAATCTCGCAGCCCTTGTTCAATTGAAACAGGTAGACATAGTCCAAAGCCTCATTATGTGTTGTGTCTACCTTGCTCAACTTGGCTACATAGACCTCCTTCTGATCATCTGCAGAGAAAACAAAATGAGGCACACCTTGCTTCCAAGTGCACTGAAGCATTCCTTGAGATACAGTTGAAGCAGCAGAAGACAACCAATCAAAACAAATAGAGTTAGTCTTGGAATAGCATTTCTTGTTTTTAGCATCAGACCTGTTCAAATTGTAATTTCTTTCTGAAGCACCAAACTGCTGAAGAAGAGAACTATTCATTATATTTATCATACTCTTAGTCCCCATAACTGTTCCTAAAGTCCAATTATCTGCAGTATCAGTACTTTCAACTACACTCTCAATCCTATCAGCTACAGGATGTGCCAAGACTAACTGATCAGAACCACATTCTGCTCCACCAACACCAAAAGATTCAAATGTGTTCAAGTTATCTTCTGAAGTCCACAAGTTTTTGGTTTCTAAGCTCACAGGTTTGTTATGATAAGAGGCTTTCAATGCTCTAATGTGTACAAAGTCCATACAGCGACGAAGATACATCTCATCTGCACTTGCCATAAACTTTGGAATCTTGCACTGTCCATGAACAAGTAGGAAGAATAAATGCTTTAGGAAAACATTACTATTTTGTGATTGGATAATTTTTACGACCATGGCCTGGTGAGAAATTCCCCTTTTAGCCAACTTTTTAAACTGAGATGCTTCAGATAATGAATCCTTTTTACCATGGCCCCTTTTTTGAACCCAACATAGTGCATTTTCCATCTTCCTCTATCAAACAAAATAATGTGCCTTATTGACAGCAACACTTTTTCTCACAGTAATCTTCCTTCAACTAGAAACTAAGCATTATAAGAATAGCATCCTGAAAAGAGGGAAAAATAAATATAAAAAAAAGGTAACATAGCAAAAGGAAAAATGTGCAGTACAAAATTAAAAAACAGCAGTTTCGCTTCAATGATTGACTATAGAACTCTAGTTAAATATATTGATATGTCTTCTTCACCCAGAAAAAGGATATTCTTCTACTGTTCATACATGGCAGTATGGCACACAACTTTCATATGTTTAAAATAAATACAAAAGGAGCAAAGAGATATGTAAACAAAGAAGTATGCATTTCATATACAAGTACATGGTCAAATAAAGGAAAAGAATTTGCAGAGTAAATTGCTTAGGTTATATAAATTATATAAGAAAAATTGCAGGATTATCAAACTCAAACCAGAACGTATATACTTCTATGATTTCACTTAATTGATAGTATGTGCTGTTATACTAAAAACAACACCAATAATCTGTCATCTTACTATTCAAAACCCAGAAAAGGAAGGTCAAAAGAACATTCTAAGGCAGAAATTAACAGTACCCCAGAGAGTGCTCAATCAAAAAACAAAGATATTCAACAATATAAAGATGAAAAAGAAAATTAGAACTATATATTAAAGACCAACTTTACATACCAAATATGAAGAACTAAGTATTAACCTCAATCAAAAGCACAGAAACCAGCAACAGGATGAAGAGAAGTAGTTGAGTTTTTACACACCAACACTTTTCAAAATGGAAATAGGAGTGCTAATGGAGAAAGAGTGGATGTAAATGGTGGGAAAGTGGGAAACAAAAGGTCAACACTAGCACCGGATGTAATGTTTATAATATAATATTATAATTTAAACTACAGTTTTATAATGTTTCAAAAAAATTTATGTAACTGTACTAGACGTGGACACCATTCTAGGTAGAATTAGAGGTGGGAAAAACTAACTAAACTAAGTAACCAACCAAGCTAAGGTAGTGGCCTAATATAATGGAAGTAGGAACATGGGTTTCGTAAGTCACGTTTCTTGGTTGAAAATTTGTACACTATTGAGTCCTAATTAGAAGAGGACATAGAGAGAGAGAGAGAGATAGCACTCCTAAAAATGAGGGTTGTTTGGTAGGGACCCATTTCTCTGTTGTTACATTACATATGCCAAGGCAAGCAAGTGTTGTCACAAAGCCCAAAGCCATTACAAGTTTTCAATATAGGATAAAGGAATTCAGGGAAGACACATTAAGGCCAGGGAGACCACAGATACTTATGCATAGATACATTATATTTTTTTGATACATAGTTACATTTACAATGTATTTACTTACATATCACTTTAGGTAAGTAGTTGCAAGTATTGACATATATTGTACAATATTTGTAAATGTAAATAAAATTCATAAAAATAAATTAAAATAATCTAGAAAAATTGTTTAATTAATAAAATATTTTTTCGGGAATCATAATAATTTAGAATATAAAAATATGCCCTACTGAAGTTTTTTGGTACAAAAAACTGAAAACAGTTTAATTTATAAAATATTTAACTACGTTATTTATAACTAATTACTTGAATTAATGATAAATTATTTATAAATTTATAAAAACATGTATAATTTTGTTTAATATAAAATTAATCAACTATCTCCATAATCAAATTAATTTGAAAATTGTGAGGGCTTGAAGTTAGTGAATGAATAAATGAACTGGTGACCACGATGGATACGTGACTCCACTAAAGGCTAAAGCAGGTGGCACTTGCAGACTTTCAATCTTTAAACTGATACCGTTGTTTTTCCCCCCAATTTAATGCAGCGAGTTCGTGATTCATGAATTGATTGAACTTGTAATTTAAAAATGGCATGTGAAGGAGAGAGAGAATGGGCTTAACTAGCAATTGTTCAGATTCTGAGGAACATATATACCTTTGGGGGAACCTATTTGACCCAACTTTGACCCCAGCAGACTGCATAATTATGCAGTTCTTGTACACAGGACACATTCTTATTCTTCTTCCTTTAATGATGGTTTTTTAATTCTTGGGTTCATAAGTTTCACAGTCACAAACAAATTATTAAATTATCCTTGAATTACTTTTACTATTATATTTTACTTCTTTAATAATATTTATCTACTTATATTTATTAAAATATTACTATAAATTGAGTAAATAGATTATTTTATAATATTTTTTTTTAAATGTTATCATAGATAGAATAACATGTTTTTATCTTATTATTATTTTTTCTAATTATTTCTAAAATCAAAGTCTCACGTCAAGTAAAAAATAGTAATATAAATGGTATATTTCTTTTATCTTTAATTGTTCTTAAAATTAAAGTCTCACAAATGAATAATACATAAATATAGTATATATAATCATAAAGTGATATTTAAGATAAATAAACTTTGATATTTGATATATATGTGGCGATGATTAATTAAGAATATCTTAAAGAACATGTAGGAGATTAGGAGCAATAAAGTATAGTGATATTAACATCTATATTAAAATTAATTGTTATTTTACAAAGTTAATTAAAACTTAGCAACATTATTAAAATTACAAATATATCATTTTGATAACATTTAAAAAAAATGTTGCCTACCTGAGTAAAAATGTTATTAAAAATCTTTAACAACATGAACTTTATACAACATTTGATAATATGTCACAAAAGTAAATTAACATTTATACACAATTAGGTAACATTTTCCAAATGTTTTCAAAAGCTCTTTTTGTTGTACTACTTGTGTGTTTTTGCTTCCACCACTTATAACTCAAAAAAAAATTAAGTAAAACAACATTTGAGTTTCTAAAAGTGTAAGCCATAAGCACTTTAGTAGTTGAAAGTATTAAAATTCAAAAAAAGTCCCTAACGTGTAAATCATTACTCACTTTGTAACACTATGCAATTTTATTATTTTTTGTTAAAATTTATTAATTTAATTGTTGTGATTAGTTGTTTATTTGTTGCAAAATTCTAAAGATATGAGAATCCTAATGATTTTTTTTGTTTAGGAGTTATTCTAAGTTGAGGTCAATATTGACCAGTTAAGGGGAGCTATACAAAATCTTTCTTTAGAAGTGGACTTCAGAAGTTCATTTCTTAAGAACCTAGAGAGAGAGAGTTTAGAGAGAGGTGTTCTGAAGCCTGTAAAATTCCTTTTCTCATAAGGACTTCCTTGTGCGTCTAGGTCTTTCCCCTGATCGTAGTTGAGTAGCTGAGTGACATTTGAAGCCTCTGGAGTTGAGAATCAGAGTTAAAGGAGTGGTTCCATGTGAAGTTCTCGAAGAGTTTTGATCTTCTTCATTCTTCCTTTTTTTTGGATTGATTCAAAGGTAAGGGAAGGTATAACTTGAATCTTTGTTAAATCATGGGTTTATATGCCGATGATTTCACTAAATTCGTGGTGGTATTGATGGATTGTAAGGTGAAATTTGTATGTTATGAGTTTGGTCTGTTCTTGAATATATTGAGAAGAAATTAGCATATATGATCCTTTGTTGGTTGCATGTTGTGAATTTTTGAATGTTTATGTTGGTAATGATGAATGGTTTCATTTTCTAGTGCTACATGTTGCTTTAGGCTAATTTTCAGGGAAGGGAGCCAAATTTGTGATTCTACCAAGTGCATAAATCACCATTGCAGCAGATGTAACTTCATGGCACCAGACGTGGTACAGGCCAAAGGCTTTTTGCCTCACTAACGTCAGGTGTCAAATTGATAGTGCATGATTGAGCGTGAGTTAGAGAACTCTCTAACTTGATCACATTAGACGTGGGTTGAGGGGTGTCAGACGTGAATACCCTTGGAGCTCTTTGACTTGGTGATGTTGGACCTAATAAGAGTGGCACTAAGCATGATCAAGGTAGTAGCTCTTTACCTAAATATAACATCGGACGTCAGTGTTGTAACGTTAGATGTGAGTTGGGCAAAAGCTCTTTGCCTGAATGAGGCCGGGTGTGGGTTTAATCATGTCAGGTGTGATTGACACAATGACTCTCTATTTCATTTATGCCAAGTGTGGGTAGATTGGCATTGGGCATGGGAGACTTAGAGGCTCTCTACGTTAATGGCATCGGGCATGAATTGCAAAATGAAAATATGTTGTTTTCTTTTAACTAAGTGTTGGACATGTATGTTATAAGTTGAATTACTCACATTTTATATGTTGTTGTATAATTCTAGTTCATTATACATTGATATAGGATGAGGTATGTGTTAAGTCTTAATTATACCTCTTTTTGAATGAGAATTATTGTACAACTCTACTCATTCTTAGCACCATTGCAAGATAATTGTTCCCTTTTTGATTCATCTTTTGTGCAGATATAGCTAACCCATTTTAGCTAACAATACCTTAATACACCTCATTTTTTGTGCAGGTATTGAGCTAGAGATTTGAGGATTGAAGATCTGTGGGATTGGAAACATAAGGAGCCAAGGAGCAGAGCAGAGCGGCTGCGCCGGGCTTAATAGAGAATTGCGCTGGGCTTGAGAAGAACAGAGCAGTGGATCTCTAGAAGTTATACATGCGCCGGGCGCGAGACTCCACCACGCCGGGCGTGATCGAGGCAGAGAGTACCTCAAAACTCTCTGGAATGAATTGCGCCGGGCTTAATAGAGAATTGCGCTGGGCTTTCTCTAAGGCAGAGAATGCTAGAAAGCCTCTGGAAGACATTGCGCCGGGCGTAAAAAGGAATTGCGCCGGGCTTATAATGAGGCAGAAAGTGCTCAGAAGATTATGAGCCGGGCGCGAAGACTTAGGCGCCGGGCGCGAAACCCTAATCTGACCTCCCAGGCTCGTATTTGAAGCCATTTTCGAGGGTTTCTCCCTCATTCACACATTGGACGAGTTTTAGGAGCTGTGGAAGGGATTCCCGGAGCTTGGAGCTGTTCGTGTGTGGGTCTTTCCTTCGGTTTCTTCATTTCTCCCTTCATCTCTATTTTGTTTTGCCCTCAATTTTGAGTGGTTCCACCCATTTTTTGTGGGGTTAGATGTAACCAACGAATTCTAGTGTAATCCTAACGTTTTCAATGATATTGATATATATATATATGTTGTTCATTCATTGTTGTGTTGTTTCTATTCTTAATGCTTGCCTTGGATTGATTCTCCTTGCATGATATAGGTTCCATGGGTATTGGAAAATAACCTTTGAAACTAGCTCTGAAACAAATGCCTAGTGGGAAATGTATCTAGGAATAGAGCTTGGCCCATTAGTAGTCTTAAACCCTAGCCCGTAATGCGGGTGTAGATATTGGATACTCAAGGGATTGATATTCAATATCCACACCTAGGCTCTTTCTCTAAGGGATTAGGTTTGAGTAAACTATTGGGTTGACTAAGCAATGAATTTAACAAGAGATTAAGGATTCATTAGTTTAACGTTTGGTGAAATCTGACCCCACAACCTCACAATACCACAATATCATTTCTAACCTTTTCCACTCACAACCAAATGTTTTTATAATTTTTATTCCAGTAGTCATGATCTTTAATTCACATTCACATGACAAACTACAAATTGGAATCATTCTTTAGTCACGAATAGTCAATAAATGCTTATGTTACCTTCTAATCCCTGTGGATACGATATTTTTACTACTTGAACGGCCGGTACGCTTGCCGTGCTTGAGACCGTTAATAGATTCTAACTAATTTATAGATTAAAACAAAAGTGTTTAAACGGAAATCTCAACAGTATGTTGATATTTAAGTTACTTATGTCAGAAAAGATGACTTAACCAAAAGGGGGTGAATTGGTTGCTTAAAAATTTCTTGCATAGTTTTCTTGATTTTGAAAAACTTT